AAGCCTTGGGTTGCAATACTGAAGGATTCTATGGGAAAATAATTGAATTATGTAGAAAGAATTAAAAAAAAAAAAAAAAAGGTGAAGAATACACAGAGTCATTGTATCAAAAAGAAATGGTCGATGTTCAACCATTTCAAGAGGTATCATATCACCAAGAACGAATGGAACTGAGGGAAGACGTCCAAGCTGCATTAAAGGCATTGGTGAAAAACAAGGCTCCAGGAATTGTTGGAATTCTTTCAACAAACTGATGCAGCACTGATGCAGTCCTGGAGGTGCTCTCTTGTCTATGCTAAGAAATTTGGAAGACTGCTATCTGGAAACCGATGGTAAGAGATTTATATTTGTACCCGTTCCAAAGAGAGATGACTCAGTGGAAGACAGAAATCATCAAACAATATTATTACTATTACATGCAAATAAAAATTTTGCTGAAGATAATTTTAAATATGTTTGCAACAGTTTATCTACAGAAAACTACCAGTAATTCAAGATGGATTCAGAAGAGGACGTGTAAGGAGGAATAACATTGCTGACATCAGATAGATATTAGCTGAAAGCAAAGAATCCCAGAATGATACTTACTTGGGCTTTATTGACTATTCAGAGGCTTTGGACTATTTGGATTATAACAAACTGGATAATGTTACTAAGAGTGGGTACTCTAGAATACTTAATTGTTCTCATGAGGAACCTGTACACAGAGGAAGAGGCAGTTGTTTGAATAGAACAAAGATATACTGAATGGTTTAAAGTCAGCAAAGGTGTGTGCCAAGGTTTTATCCTTTCACCATACTTATTCAATCTGTATGCTGAGCAAATAATCCGAGACGCTGGATTATATGAAGAAGAACGTGGCATCAGAATAGGAAACTCATTAACAATCTGTGATATGCAGATGATGCAACCTTGTTTATTAGAGGGGAAGAGGATGTAAATTATTTACTGATGAAGAGCAAAGACTATGTATGGCCTTCAAACAATCAATAAATGGGCTGAGTTCAACCACACTCCAAAGCCTCCCATTGACCTGGAGATGAAAGAGAGAAGAGGAAGGCCTGGTTGGTCTAAAGTGTGGTGAGAACTGGGGACTCCTGAGCTCATGGACAAGGACATAACCACAGAAGGCTAGAGCTGAGAGTGAAGCATCCAGCTGATATGAAGTGAGGGGAGATGCACAAGAATGCTCAAATTTGCCCAGGTCTTGATGGCTTGATGATCAGAACGCAAGTAGAGGAAGATTAAAAAAATTTTTTTGATAAAGGAAACAAGTGTAAATTGCTATAATTTGGTGAACCTGACCTATACTTATGGATGTAGCAGCTCAAGGTACCGAGAAGAAAAGAGTCTTCACATCAAGTATCAATCTTATCTCCTCTGTATACAGAGTTGATAGGGACGGGCAACTTAGACATTGGCTACCTAAAATGAGGGGGTGATAAAGGCATGAAGTGACTGGCTTACAATATTTCAAGAGGGAGTTTAGTTTAAGAGTGTGCAGCAGAAGATAGAATCCCCACTGAATAGATTTTATCTTGTCTAGATGGGTCTGGTGAAAAGAGATGGGGATAAGATTCTTATGATTCAATAGTAATTGTTATCATGACTAAGTGCTACTGTCACAACTGTAAAGGTCTAAGTTTTGTAACAAAAATGGTGGAGTAGTTAATCTTACAGTCTAGAAACAGAGAACCCTAGGACCATGAAGGAAGAAAAGCAGAAGCAGAATGTGGGACCCTATCCAGAGAAGCAGTGGCATCAGAGATGGAGGCAGAGATGGGGGCATGGAGACAAAGAGCAGCTGAGGACTCTAGACTCATGGAAAGAGAAAGACTGAGTGCTGGTGGCCAGGAGGCAGACTTGCAGAATGTGCCCTTTGGTTCTTTAAATG